ACAGGAAAATATTTGGTCTATCATCTATTTAAAATTCTGGAAACCGAGTAATCAAAAAAAAAAAAACTATAAACTAAGAAAATTGCCTTTAATGTAAATGTTTTTTGATAAAAACAGTGTATTGATATATTTACTGTAGGAAATGTATAAAAAAGTCATGTAACATGAACCATTTAACATGTTTACAGTATGTCATGTTAATGCTCAGAATGCTCCTGCAAAAACATGGGGCATCCAGGGTGCATAAGCATCATGAAAAATGCTCACTGCCAATAGAAAACTACTTTAAAGGTTCAAGAAAGCCTCAAGTTTTAGTTTTTTTTTTAAAGATTTTAACAGATTTGCGTTGTTGAGCATCAGTTAAGACAATGTTCGCAGCTGTTAGCTTTAATTGTGGATAAACCTGTATAATTTTGAGATCTTGCGCAAATTGGCAAGAGGAGTGATGTCAGTTTCTCATTATTATTCACAGCTAAGTTTTCTTATCCTATGAGAAGATCCTGCTTCTTAATTATTCATGAGAGCACGTACTTTCTGAAGGCAAGGCAGACTTGTCAATCTGTGAGACCTAATGACTGCAGGTGAGACTGCATCTGTGCATGGCACAGGTCATATGTGTTTGTTTCTATAATCCACAGGGTTTGTTGCATGCTTTTCTCCCTGATTTTGTCAGGGTACAGCAAACCTGTTGGTTTGCAGCAAGCATTTTAGTCTAGAGAGCTGGACAAGAATTGGAGAATGGCAGAGTTTGTCTTTTATCAGTTGAGCTTGTTACCATTCAGACACATCGCCTATATCCCTGCTGCTGTGTTCAACTATGTTTAAAATTCTTTAGATTTCCAGCAGGGTTATGATTGGAATAAAGAGGGACCTACTTTGACACCTCTGCGCTCAACACCCATTATGAAGCTTTTTTCTTTTTTTTAATTCTGAGGTAGAATCAAACCGAAAGAGGAGGTATCATGGCCCTTTAAAATGGTTCCTCTCACCCCAAACAACATGTTTGATTTGATCGGGCCCTAAGCACCCATAACAATATCAAGCTGCAAGCAGCAGTTTGCCTATTTATAACATTGTGAATTTGTGCTGCAAAATCCACAATTGCTATCGTTTTATTATGCTATAATACTTTAGTATGTTTATTAATGTTGTTGTAGTTATTATTATTTAAAGAATTTTATTACAGCTCCTAAAACTCCACTTTTAAAATGCTCTTGTGTCTTAGTTGGCATTATCTTCAGCAGGTATGCTGTGTAAACTCTAATGGTAGACGGCTGCTTCTCACTCAGGGCTGTTAATGCTAATGTGGGAAAGATTGTCACTAATGGCCGGGGCTTTCCCCCTCTGATGTCATGTACATGTTTACCATTTGAGGCTGGCTATATTCACAGACTGCTGCTACACAACTGTGTTTAAACATTGTGTAAAAAAAAGCTTCTTGATAGGTAAGTTTTGCCTTTCAGCAAGCTTAAGGTTAGGAATTTTAAAAGGTCGGTGACCACTAATTTATGACTATGATCACTGACTATGTATATTTACTGTCCACCCTAAACACTACACCTTTATTCTTTCTGATTTTGACAGTATTGTAACAATGTGCTCCTTTTATAAAGCTGCTTTAAAATTATATTTATTGTAAAAAAAAGTGCTATACAAATAAACATAAAATAAAAATAAACATAAAACAAGAATAAAATGTTTTGAATTGTAATAGTATATGTATTTTTGGCTATTGCCATAAATATACATATGCAACATTAAACTGGTTTTGTGCTCTAGGGTCACACATGTTTAGTCTGTGTGTGTGTGTGTGTGTGTGTGTGTGTGTGTGTGTGTGTGTAAAATTCACATAAACGATAAATGACAAGTGCCTGTTTTAGCCTCCGTTTCCAAAAAGGCACTCGGCTCACATTCTGTTTACCCAAGACTATCAGCTTACACCTCTACAAAGCCCTGACAAAACCCCATGCGTGGGTCCAGATCTGCTAATCTGGATCAATTTACACAAACAGTGCCTTTGCTGTAAGCGGGGAGTGATATTCATGACTCTGTAAACCCTTGCTGTTGGGCAGAAACTCTTCTCAATTATCTTAAAAATTAAAGAAAAAATTAATAAAATATTTAAATTATATCTCAAATTATGATTATAATTATTATTAAATTATTAATTCATTTTATTTTTGGCTTACTAATTAATATATTTTTGGCTTATTAATCAAAGGTCGCCACAGAGGAATGAACCTCCAACTTATTCTACCTATGTTTCACACAGCGGATGCCCTTCCAGCTGCAACCCATCACTGGGAAACACTCATTCACTCATTCACACACATACACTACAGACAATTAACTTACCCAATTCACCTATAGTGCATGTCTTTGGACTGTGGGGGTAACCAGAGCACCAGAAGAAAACCCACGCAAACACGGGGAGAACATGCAAACTCCGCAAAGAAATGCCAACTGAATGCCAGCGCCTCAAACCAGTGAACTTTCTGCTGTGAGGCAACAACGCTACCCACTGCGCCACCGCGCTGCCCTATTATTATATTATTAAAATAAAAATCTGTAGATATTGAGAAACATTGAGAAACATCTTACATTATTTTTTTCCTATTACTGTTCCTAGCCTGCTGATTAACAATGTTTGATATTGATTAAATTGTTTTTACAGAATCATTCAAGAATTAAATACTCAATTGGCATCACAATAAATTATATAAATATATTATTTTTTTAAATGAATTTATAATAAAAAGAATAAAATATTAATAAAATAATAATTTTCCCAGAGATGGGTTGCAGCTGGAAGATCATCCGCTGCGTGAAAACTTGCTGGATAAGTTGGCGGTTTATTCCGCTGTGGCGACCCCGGATTAATAAAGGGACTAAGCCGACAAGAAAATGAATGAGTGAATTTTTTTTTTTTTTTTTAATAATTTATATAAATAATTATTTTTATAATTTAATTGGATAACTAATAAAATCTCTAGACAGACATAAAGGGTGACCAATAGCAATTATTTATAAAAATATATAAATGTGAAGATACAAAGTTTCTGCCTGACAGCAGCAACATTCAAATCAAGTACCATTTTGTGACATATTATTTATAATAAAACATGTTTAATGCAGTTAATTTGTAACAAAATCATAATACTTTAACACAAACTTTAACTCATAAAGTTTGACATTATTACTGTTTCATTCTGCTATCATCAGCTTTGAGTTGTCAAGACATGACAGAGATGGTTTTGTCAGGAACCCTGCACAGAAGTAAAGATTCATAAACTAATTTCGAGAGGAGCACATGATATGATTGTGCACCGCTGGCCACTCATCCATAATCAGTAATAATCCGATCAGAATGATCCTAACTTAATACAAATGGATCACTTTCTCCTTATTGCTCTATCTTCGTTTTGGAAGAATCCTCCCTTTCCACCCTATCTCCTCCTTTTTCACCCCTTCTAAAGGGGGAGCGATCAAGACCTACCTGATCTCGGATCTCCTGATATGCTTCTAGACCAGGCAGGAGACCTGGGCTTAAATATCTCCGAGCTCAGGGTTCTCTCCCGGGACAGCATGCCAAACCTGCTATAAATGCCAAGCATATCTATGTGGAACTCTTGAAATGATTGACTGACAGCTGATAATAGCAGATATTTCAGATAAAATATAGTGTTTTCCTATTTTATTGGCATCTGTCAAGTAGTATTTTATATGGCAGAGCTACTCCATCCACTTTATTGGGTTTGAAATAAAACTATTTTATTTTAAAACATCACAAATGTTTTTTGCCTATATTTTATTCTTTATACACAGTTAAAGTACATTTGGTATGTGTTTTCTTAATAATAATTCAGTTCTGCAAGGAATTATTACTTTCCGAAAAGTAAGAAGATATTTAAATGGCTATAAATTATTTGTATTTCAAAAAAATGCTGTTTATGGATAATAAATTATCCTCAACACCAAATCAGTAATTTATAATCATTGGTGAAGGATTGTTTAAGAATAAATCACATTTCAAAATATAATGAAATAGTTTTAAGTATTTATTATATTTTATCGTTGTGATGCTTTTTTTAAATCAAATACACCCTTGCAAACATTTATGATTTCTTTCAAAAACATTTAAACACTTATTAATGTGTACAACAACACGGTGACTCAGTGGTTAGCACTATCACCTCACAGCAAGAAGGTCGCTGGTTCGAGTGCCAGCTGCGTCAGTTAGCATTTCTGTGTGGAGTTTGCATGTTCTCCCCATGTTGACGTGGGTTTCTACCGGGTGCTCCAGTTTCGCCCACAGTCCAAAGACATGTGCTATAGGTGAACTGAATAAGCTAAATTGTCCATAGTGTATGAGTGTGAGTGAGAGTGTAAGGATGTTTCCCTGAACGAAGTTGCAGCTGGAAGGGCATCTGCTGTGTAAAACATATACTGGATAAGTTAGAGGTTCACTCCACTGTGGCGACCCCAGATGAATAAAGGGACTAAGCCAAAGGAAAATGTCCTGACATATGTACTTTAATTATTAAACGTCTTACAAGCATAGCCTATTATAATATTTGGAGTCTTTAGTCTGCTATTTTAAATAATCTTTAGTGAATTTTGTTAATATTTGCAATTATAGCAACATTTGAATAACAATTACATCAAAATTTGTAGCAATGTAGTTCTGCTAAAAGCAAAGGTCACAGCTGTCATGTTGGGTGTGTTAAAAAGATGCACTGTGTGATTATCTCTTCCAGTGTGAACCATCTTCAGAAACCTGTATTTGCCTTCTGTCTTTAAATATGCGCATATATTACAACAACAAGTGTCACACGCAACACTTTTTCCCTTCCTAAAAAAGCAAGTGAATGTGTTAACACGCAAGCTAAACAAAATGAATTAATCACAAGCAAACTGACTGATGGCCCTGATAATAAGAACTGGCATTTTTGCAGAAAAAGCCACCAGCACATTTCTTCATGTTACAGGTGTCATCTCACCTTTGTCACAGAGCAGGCCGCCCCAATTAGTGTCACACACACACTTCCAGGGTTCAGTGCAAGTGCCATGATCACACCCCGGAAACGTCTCACACTCATCGCACAGATCACCCTTCCAGCCATAATGACACCTACACACACAGAGAAAGAAGTTGCAACATGAATCAAGTGCTAAAAAAGACATAAACAAAAGCCATCAGCTTGTGAATACACATTGCTCAGCATTTATTAGTACACCCTTCACAAATGTCTCATTTAAATTCATATTTTCTATTAAACTTATTTTCATGTACAAGCAGCCGCAGCCATTTGAAACTTTTTGGCTCGAGACTTCCGGTCTCATTCACTTACATTTATTTTTAGACATTAAAAACAGCTTGTTATGCTGCTTGATGTTGCAAACTGATGTTTTCTCATTGTTTTATTCTGTTTTTTCTGTATAGTCATGAACACACTTGTTTGTAGAGCAAGTAGTTTGACCATTTTCTAAAGTTTATTATTTCCAGTAATTTCTCCCATAGACAACTGAAAAAGGGAAGTTCTAAAACAATCGCAAAAACCAGCGCACTTCCACATTGAAGAATAAGGTCAACAGAATGCTTTACAGTATTGTATTTGTGCATATATACAGTAGAAGTCAGAATTATTAGCCCCCTGAATTATTATTTTTAATTTATTTTATAGTTATTTTATTTTTGTCATGATGACAGTAAATAATATTTTACTAGATATTTTTCAAGACACTTCTGTACTGTTTAAAGTGAGATTGAAAGGCAGGTTAGAATAATTAGGTAAGTCATTGTATAACGATGGTTTGTTCTGTAGACTATCAAAAATTTTTTTGCTTAAAGTAACTAATAATTGTTCCCCAGAGATGGGTTGCGGCTGGAAGGGTATCCGCTGCGTAAAAAACTTGCTAGATAAGTTGGCGGTTCATTCCGCTGTGGTGAACCCGGATTAAAAAAGGGACTAAGCTGACAAGAAAATTAATGATGAATGAATGGGGCTAATAATTTTGACCTAAAAATGATTCTTAAAAAATTAAAAATGCTTTTATTTTTACAGAAATAAAACAAATAAGACTTTCTCCAGAAGAAAAAATATTATCAGACATACTGTGAAAATGTCCTTGCTCTGTTAAACATTATTTGGGAAATATTTAAAAAAGAAAAAAAATTAAAAGGGGGACTAATAATTCTGACTTCAACTGTAATAGATCAGACAGTACTGAAGCTAAATCTGGAGCTTATCTAACAAAATAACTTATGATAAATGTCTGAAAATGAGTTGCCCAAATTTACATGTCAGGCAAAAATATTACAACAAATTTTTAAAAAGAGTAAAAACTTTTGTTGAAATTTTGTTGTTGGTCATTTATTTTTGCAATATTTCTACTATTGCAATAATACTTAAATGTATATCTTTCTATTTGTAAAGATGTTTGGTGACAAAAATATCATATATATATATATATATATATATATATATATATATATATATATATATCTATATAACATCTGAAACACTTCCAATGCAAACAGAGAGACATACAGATGTAGATATGAATTTACCTGTGGTAAGAAATCTAATCGCAGTGCAAACAATTCCTTCAGAGAGATTTTACCTTTAAAAATGCTTATATAAGAGTAAGTGCAGTCTGGTGATTATTAATATTCAGTGTTAATTCCTGACAC